AATTACGTCATTACAATAATATATATATATATATATATATATATATATATATATATATATTTAATATTATTATTAATACTTGCCTTACACTTAGGGCATACAAAAATATTCATATTTTCAATAACACCTAATATTGGTATATTCGCTTTTTTACAAAAATCAATTTCTTTCCTCACATCTAATAAAGCAACCTGTTGTGGAGTTGTTACTATTATTGCTCCTGTAATCCCAACATTTTTAAGATACAAAGTTGCCGATAAATGCTCATCCGATGTACCAGGAGGAGTATCTAAAATAAGATAATCTAATGTCCCCCAGTCTACTTCTGATAAAAATTGTCTAATCATTCCTATAATAATAAATTAATAAATAAATATATAAATATATAAATTATATACATAAAAAAAAATCATTTTATATTAAATACCATTTTTTTTGGGTCCTCTCCATATCACTGCATCACTTGGATTCGCAAGTAAAAATCCAATAGACATTAATGACAAATTGTCTTCTATGTACTAAAAGAAATAATAAAAGTCATTTATAATATATATCAGTTAAATATAATAATAAAAACTCGTTTAGTTTATATCTATAAAAGCTCACCACTGGAGACCATCCTGATCCACTTTGATGAACTTGTTCTCCTATTACACCTAACACTCTTGGTTGTGATGGTCCGCAAATGTCAATATCTAATATTGCAACCTATGAAGTTTATTTATATCTTTTCATTCAGTTTAATTAATAAATTATAAAATCAAATTTTAAATATTACAGAATATTTTTTATATTTATAATTATATATTATTTCATTTCATATTTTATTATTTATAATTATTTATAATTAAAAATATATAATATATCAAAAGATTAATATAATCAATTAGAAACTGATACAATATAATAGAAATAAATAAAATTACAAGTAACTATTGTAAATATACTCTTTAAACTATATATATAGCACAAATTATAAGCGATTGGTAGATATCACTATGTTGATATGGATATAGAAAACAATATGGATGTTCTTGCTACAAGAAGAAAGGTAAGCATTTATTTTGAAATTTTTAATATAATACCAAAAACTTGAAGATCTATTGAGCAATATATTTCATAAAATAATTGCTTAAAATATTTATATCATATGTTAAAAAAATACATACATTTATATCAGGATTATTTAATGCCAAAGATCTGGATATCAGTGATGTTATAGTACTTTTACCAACACCACCTTTACCAGATAATACCAATAGTTTATTCTTAACAGTAGAAAGTCTTTCTTTAATTAGATCTATATTAGAATCTGATTGTCTGGTAATACCAGATGCACATATCGTTTTATTTGGGCAACCAGCACATATAGATGACTTTCCTGCATCATTACTCTCAGTACCAGGACAATCTATAAAAATATTAAATACTCATTTGTTATTCCATAATAAATAAAGATTACTCGATATATAATACTAATGTTTAAATGTTAAATGTTAATATTGTAATTAGTTTTTGAAAAAAATGAATAATAATTAATTCATTAAGTAACTATATTTAAAAATTAAATATACAAAATTAAATATATAAAATATATATATATATATATATATATATACATATATATATTATGTTTAATATTTTATATTAACAGTTAAGCAGTTTTATAATATACTGAATAAATATTGAAACGGAAGACAATATATGTAATATAACCTTATACATGTATAATAAACAACATTAAATCAAATATTATTAATTTAAAAACAATTTTTTATACATTTAAATTAATTATTACATATAATAATGGAATTACTAAATTATACAAATTATATTCGATATTTTTTATTTGCATACATACGTTGTCGTATATCACTAGGTATATCTGCCATGTTGAATAATGATTTGCGATCAATGTCTAATTCTTCAAATAAAAGATAATTTTTAAAAAATACCTTAATATATTTAATTGTTATTAATATATTATTAATATAAATAAAACGATAGTAATTTGTTGATTCGCGTGAAACATTTGCATAAATAAAGTTTTTGAACATTACTCAATTTTACATTATCTATATAATAATTATTTATATAAAATTCAATATAAAATTTTTTGTTATTTAACTTTAAATAAAATTCGAAATTTCTTTCTTATTTTTTACCATTGCATTACCATTTTTATTTTCTTTAAGATAAACAATATTCCTTATTTAATATAAATGATTTTTTCTTTTTTTTTCCGAATAAAATTTTATTTCATAAAATTTTCAGCAATTACAATCATGGAGTACATTTAATTTACCAATTTCTAACATCGAACCAATAACTTTGCGCAATTTAAGTAATTATAATAATAAACATAATATGCCATGGTATTCCAAGGAATATAATAACATTGAAATTATACCATTGTAAGTTTTCAATATTTAAGCATTATTTCGCTTATTCTACATTTTAGAAAAAAATTATTTTATAAGAAAAAAAGTCATGAATAATTGATATTTTTTTTAGAACAAAATCAACATCCAATTATACATTAGACATTCCAAATACAATCAGTTTATCGAGATTTCCCGATTTAAAAACAAAATATGAACACAATGCACAACGTGCTTCAAAAACAATTCTATATACGCGATATACACCCGACGAATGGTATCAGAAACAAATAAAATATTATAACGATGCAAATTCATGCAGATATTTTTCAGAAAGAACAAGAAACGAAGCTTTACAGATTATTAGGTAAATATATGATATTACAAATTAAATTATTTCGATATATTTATATAATTTATATAACAATAAACATGAACATTTACGACAATAGAGATGCCGAAGAAAAAATACAATCTGGACAATATGATACCGATAGAAGACTCGGTGAAAGAATAAACGACATAAATTTTTGGCGAAATGAAATAGCATCAGAATTAGAAAGATTAATTCAAGAAATAGAAAGATTAAACGATTGTAATTCTATTTTAAATAAAGCTATTAAAGATATCGAAAATCCATCGCGCATCGCAGAAGAATGTCTCTATTACAGAGAAGCTAGGAAAGGTAATAAATATAATAATTAACAAATAACATTATTAACAATATCGTTGGTGATTATTTTTAAAAATATATTGTAAAATGTTATTGTATAATATTAATATTATAAATATTTTGTCGTATAGATACAGAGCTTGTACACGATGATTCAGAGAAATGTTTAGCGAAAGAGATAGAAATTTTGAATCAAAATAGAACGAAATTGGAAATTTGCTTGGATAAATGCAAGAATCAGGTAATATGGAATTAAATAATTAAATTTCAAAATTATTAAATTATAATATATGAAAAACTGATATATACCTATACTCTTGTAGTTGCAAGATTGCAGGTTCTGTCAATGTCAATTAGAATTGAATCTAAAATGTAAAGAAAATGCTTTACAAATAGATAGAATGTGTCATCAATTGAACAATTATAGTTCCGGACTACAATATTATATCGGAATTGAAAAATATAACTCATGGTATATAAACTTTTGTAAACATATCCAACTTACGTTAATTAGATTATTCAATATAAACGTTAAATTTATTATTAATATATCAGTCTTAGCGAACAAAATACATGGATACACGATGCTAATCAAATAATCGAAAAGTCCCAAACCGAAAGAAATAAATCGTGTCAATTAAGGACGAACGCAGAAGCTCTTATGATTAAAATTACACAAGAAATGTGGGATGCATGGAGTAATACGAACAATGCTTTAACACATAGATCTTCCGAATTATTCGAAGCCAAAAATAAACTTCAACAACATTTACAAATGGTAAAAATATTTAACATATTCAACATATCAAAATAACAATTTAATCTAATCTTTTTTACAGATCCAACAAGAAATCTTCGATGTTGAAAAAAGTTTAGAATTGATGCATAAAGCTATCGCAGATAAGAGTCACATATTAAAAGTAGCATATACCAGATTACAAACTAGAACGTACCGTCCGGATATCGAACATTGTCGTGATTATGCGCACATGAGGTGAATTTATTTAAAGTTTGTTTATTCTTGTAAATTAAGATAAAATAGAAAAATTTTCCAACAATTTAATTTTACGTTAATGTATATCGTGTTAACAGTCTCCAAAAAGAAATCGATGAAATAAATCATCAAATGGAAAGAATGTACAGTAAATTGAAGGAACTAGAGAATCAACATCAAAACTTATTAAAAGCACAAACAACATTGGAACACGATCTTGCGTTGAAAATTGACGCGATACATATCGATCAAGAAAAGGTTTCAAGTCTTAGACGTGCTTATCCGATTAATATTCTCTTTAAATTTTAATGTTTACTCATAAAATTATTATTATATTATATCGTATTCTATCGTATAGCTCTTTTTAGGAAATAAAAATAAAATAATATTTCATGTTACATTCATGAACAAGATATTAAATATCAAATAAATATTCGTTGAAATACTAACACATCTTTTATTGTATGTAATCTTTATCATTGTTTCATAAAATTTGGCATAGGTAATTTCATCCCTTCTTTAGCTTCAAAGAAAGTGTAAGAAAGTACAATTTCTTTTACATCCTCCATTTTAGGATCGTTAACAAATTCTGGATCAATATAAAAAAACACTGGCATGTCGACCTATCAGACGATACAATGAAACGATATTATCTCTATACATATGTACAATTATCTTTAAATAAATTCAATTAATTAAAAAATTAAATTAATTTAATTAATTTAATAATTAAATTTGATTAATTTGAAAAGCTTTTTTAAAAGCTTTACCTCTTCATGCGGATTAAGTCGTTGTTCTTCAAAACAAAAACACTGAATTTTATTAAAATATTGCGCAGCTTCGTACGGAACTACATTATAGGTAGATATACCAGTGATCGGTACATTTAATGGATTTTGCGCTCTATAAAATGCTAAAGCAGTTTCTCCAGGCAAAACTTTTATGAAATTTTGTTGCGGTTTGAAATTCCATTGCATCATAGCTCCTATATCGGCATTAAATGTTATTTTTAACACTCTATCCTTAATAGGTTTCATAGACTGTATTTTGGTATTATCATGATTGACAGATAACGTTCCACCATAATTATACGACTATTAAAAAGATAATTCATTCTCATGTATAATACAGAACATAAAAAATATATAACGATAAAAAAAACAGCAATATTACCTGACAAAATATTCTATACAAAGGCACCGAAGCATAAGTAAAACCAATTACCAATATACCGAAACCGCTCCAATATAAACGCGAAGAATGTATCCTTTTTTTATGAGTTGCATCATAATACCGATTAAATAAAATTCTAGATACATCAGTGTGTATTCGCTTTTCATAGCAATTCAATATTTTTCGATAGACTTTGGTATACATATTACCTTTTCTTTTAACCTAAACTTAACCTAAAAGATTTTGAAAATTCTTAAAAATTTATAATACACGTAAAGAAGATTTAATTAATAGGAAATAATTTGACAACAAAGATTAATCTAAAAACACATTTCGTTGATCTCTTGATAACGTCACATTAATTTATCATATCTTGTATAAACTTCAACAAGAACAAGAACCATTCAAAACATCTTACTTTTGCTCGAACATTGCCATCTTTCGGAATATTCTATTATCATGAAATCATGAAATTTGAAATTTGAAACGAATTTAAATCGAACATACAAAATAAGAAAAGATTTTAACAAAATTTGTAACAAAAGTGATAAACAAAGTTGGATATATTTTGCCATATACGATAACATATTTATGCTATTTAGCATATTATTTTTCGGAAACTCTAAAATTCTTTTATCGTTTTTTCTAACGTTATCAATATCATTTAGAAGAATATTACAATATTTTTAGCGATAAAAATTGAAATTTAATTTTAGTAAATTTATTACAAGACATACAGAATACAGTTATAATCATAAAGGAAATATATATAATACAGAGTTATATATTTTTTAAAAATATACTTTTAAAATATAATAATATTTTATAAATATAATAAATGTTGAATTTATTACTATTCATACTATTACGAAATAATGCAATAAAACATAATAATAGAAATTTATAATTTACAAACAATAAATCCACGATAAATATCACATAAATAGAATACATAGTTGAAATTATTTTTATCACATGTATCGCATATAAATTATAAACATCAGTGATATATCACTAATTAATTTTATATATATCATTCGGAAGAATAAATAACGAATACAATTATATCTTATTAATTAACACAAACAATATTATTTCTTTAAAAATATTCTTTCTCAAGATGTTTATAAAATAATACATATATCATATACTGTATTCACGTATATGTAATACGTATTAGAATCAATCAATTATTTATAATTTCGCGCCAGAAATACAAATACCGCGATAACTTTATGGCATACAGATTCACGACTATTTTCACGATGTATCAAGATATTTATACAATCAACAACACGAAGTGTCATAGTTTTTATTATTAATATAAATTACGTATATAGAAATTATAAAGAAAAGAAATCGCAAAGAAATATTAAAATGTTAAAAATTTCGCGCAAATTGTAAAAGTGTAAAATTTTAGTTTTGCCATTCTTTTCATAAAATTTGTATCACGATAAAATTACAGAGGTTATGTTACCGTACAATTTTATAAAAATAAAACAGTTAAAAAGAAGCGTAAAAATTAAAATTTATAAGGCGAATAACAATGATAAGACTCGGAACAATGTTCGATAATCGTGAAATTGGAAAACGAATACGACGTTTGATCGATGGAAATTATTCATGTCGCAAAATATTTGTATTACTTATTATATGTAGTGGTATATTTTTATATTTTGGTCCACCTTTCATACAATGGATCTTTTCTTCTACCAGAGAATCAACACAAGGTAAAACGAAATATTCGATAATTAAAGTTAAAAATAATTAAAGTTTACTTTCTTTTTTTTTTTAAATTCAATCAATTCAATTCAAAATCATTCAAATTCAATCAATTATTGAACAAGTTGCACGATTATAACATGTTTGCTTCATTAAATAGAGTAAGGATTAAACGGGAGGAAAATATTTATTAAATAATTAAATATTTATTATTTATATAATTATTATTACATTTTAAGAAATATATCTTTTAGGACTAAAACTATCAATTTAGATAAGCGAAATAATTACACGAGATAAATCTAAATATCGTATATGTGAACATTTGTAATCGAAACGATAATAAAGCGAAAATAAATAAAGATAAAATATTAATTTTATCAAAAATGTTTTTATATTTTTATACTAATTGTAACAAACATCCATATATCCATTATTTCGATAAATTCCGAGTCAGCGAATACGATTTTTACAAAAATGTTAATTCATATTTACAAATATAATTAAATTAATATTTTTAACAAAAATTTACACGATTTACATCAATCGATTAATTCGTGATATATATTTACTAAATAACATATATTGATTTTCATAGCAATCGAAGATCTTTGTATGAACGAAAGATTAGCCGCCTTTCGTTTCGATATCGGAGAATATAATGTAAATATTCTTCACAATCCACCAAAAGAAGAGGAACATTATTATTTGCCATATATCGGAAATGGAATTTTTGGAATTCCTATTTTGCCAGAGGCTTTAATATATATAAAACGAGGACGAGCACTATCATTGCCTGTACAATGGCAACCATTAATTTCTCATCCTTTGCTCAAAAGCAGTTTTTATCGAGAAGCTACAGTTACACATTTTACAAATGGGATCGTTTATCGTTATCAATGTTTCAGAGAAGGATATTACATGGAGTTTCAATATTACGCTCATAGAATATTCGATGCAATATTGATGCAAGATATAAAAATAACTAATCCACTTTCATTTTCTCAAAATGTACCGTTGAAACCACAAGTATCTACTCAATGGAGTAATTATCGTATAGAAACGATCAAGTACTTATCTAATTTTATTTAATTATAAAGGAATACATTATATTATCGGAGAAAATTATATAAATATTGAAAATTTTATCTTAAAATGAATTTATATTTTCGAGTAAGAGAAGTATTATTATCGAATAAATAATTTACCGGAATATTTTTTATTATACTTTATCTTTACTCAAGTAGCTCAATTAAAATTAAAAATTAAAAATTAAAAATTAAAAATTAAAAATTAAAAATTAAAAATTAAAAATTCTTACCGAACGCGATTCAACCGATGAGTCGAAATAAAATAAATCATTTTTGTAATAATACGGACAAATAGGAAATAAACGACTTTTTTTTTTATATCCGTTAATTATTTTTCTTAATCGTTTATTCAAATATTATTTTTTTTCGTACATCGTATATCGTATAGATAATCGTGCGAATTATTACAATATTATACAATATTATTAATCAATTATTATTTATAACGATACTTAAAACGATCGAACTAATATTTCTAATTATCATTTTGCTACGTATTTATATATTATTACTATTATTATTATATTTATCATATTACTTAGTTATTTAGACTAATAATATACCGTTTATTTACATTTAGAATTCAAATAGATGATTTTATGGATGAATATAATTTAATTTCGGGATTCGTTCCATTATCTAATACGAATAAAATTGTGACGATATCGATACTCTATAAAACGCCACCAAGAACGTTACAAGTTAAAGCAAGAAGTACTATTAAATTAAAATTCTTGACAAGTATACAATATAGCGAACCTACGCTTATGGAAGAATATCACGTTCAATACGAATTAACAAAAAAAAGGCTATAGAGGTACATATCTACGATATTTTAAAAATATTAATTAACGTGCTTTAATACTTAATTCGTTACAGGCGCTTAAAAAAGCCATCGGTATTCAGTACCAAAATTTAAAAGAAGATCATATTAATCGTTGGCAAAGTTATTGGTTCACAGGTTTTAGAATAAGCGATTCTAAAGCCGATGGTGCAATAAATGGTTATAAAATAAATTCTACCATATATTACGTATTATCGCAAATTCCAAAAGGAATTCCAGGCATAGAAAAAAATGTAGCTACGAATGAAGGTTGTTATCGCGGGCATCATACTTTGTGAGTAACAAACATCTTTTTTAAATATTTTCTTTCAGAACGTTCATTTTATTCTTTCGTTTTAGGGATGCTCCACGGTTATGGAAAGATACATCTTCCATCGATGCTATAAACAACGTAGTCGAAGCTTGGTTAGTAACATTAGAAAAACAAGGATGTCACCATTTAATGATCGGCGATCCTGCAGCAGTGCAACAAGCTATCGTTTTAAGCCTTGGTAGTTTACGTTTCAGTAATCAGCATCTCGAATTTAATATCGATCCTCAATATCTTCATCGCGATTATTTATTTAGGTATCGTATTAAAATATTTTTTTCAAAAGTCAAATTATAATTATAAAGCACGATTAATAATTATGACGTATTCATAACTTGTATAGAAATTAATATAAAAAGTAGCAAATATCATTATATCATAAATTATGAATTAAACATAACGTATAATTCTTTATATCTCTATGGTATAAAAAGTTGTTTCGAAAAAATTATTTTTTATGAAAAATAAGTCACATTGAAATTTTTTTTTCTATTATTATTTTTATTATTAGTTTTTATTAAATTAATAATCGTATCATCTTATTTTCGCATTAACATTATCGTTAACAAATACGAGAAATT